ATAAGCTCCCCCCTCTCTCTGTTGATTTCTCTCTCTCTCTCTCTCTCTCTCTCTCTCTCTCTCTCTCTCTCTCTCTCTCTCTGTTGATCCTCTCTGTAGCTATCTCTCTCTCTCTCTCTATGTTTCTCTCTCTCTCTATCTCTCCTGCTCGCTTTCACTTTTGATTGGTCTCCCCTCCCCCACTCTTTGTATCTTTCTCAGTCTTTCCCACTCTCCCACTGTCTTTCTCTCCCTCTATCTCTCTTCCTCTCCCTTTCTTACACACTCTCTCTCTCTCTCCCTCTCCAAGAAAACAAACCACCTCCAGACGGGTAAATACCCCTGTTTACATTGGACATCTCCTGAGCTTCTGTAACTCGCGATCGGAAAACTTCAAACAGAAATGAGCCCAACTGCTTGCTATGTAAGGTCTGGGGAAGGTCTGATTATATTATGGTTCTTTTTATGTAGACTAGTCTTCTTCTATGAGCACTCCAAACCGGCAGTGAGAAGACGGTCAAAGGCGTGAGACCGAAACCGGGAATTCCCGTAAACCTACTTTATGTATTATAACTGAACACAAAATATCCTTTGGCGCAGTCGGCACTCCGCAGTGAATATACAATGTCGAAGCAAATGATGGCGATGGCTACAAAAGGACTGAATTTAACTTAAAATGGGCTTTCTTCTTACGCAGTTGATCTTAATGAAAATATAATAGTGCAACACTACGTTTCAAGTTATGGGTACTGACAAAGTTTCATATTCTTTCATTATGTAGTTTCTGAGAATATACTGTTCGCAAAATTTGGCCTTAGCCCCATTAGTAGTAAGATGTTTTACACCCCTTTCGACACAATTTTAATCATTCAAGAGGCAGGGTTCGACTCTGTCTACCAGGGACAACCTGGGCTGTAAGGTGTTCAATATTCCAGCAGAGAGACCGAGATAAAAAGTTCTCCTCACTGAGGAATCGAACTCAGGTCTCCTGCGTGCCAAAACGAAGCACCTAACCCCTGCAACATCACCGACACCGGTTGGCTATTTGTGGTGAGTAAGGGGTAAAAGTAAATTTTAGCCTCCGATAACTTACTTGTTCTAGCACACATCTTCGGAGTCTCTACAATCCCCGCCCCCTCCCCCCTCTCTCTGTCTGTCTGTCTGTCTGTCTGTCTGTCTGTCTGTCTGTCTGTCTGTCTGTCTGTTTGTCTGTCTGTTTGTCTGTCTGTTTCTCCCCCACCCCACTCCACACACATCATTATGTTATATTTGATAGAAAAGTAGGCGCAAACGACATGAGAGCGCTCTCAAACCACCCATTTATGTGTCCGTATCGTTTGAAAAGGGTGTAAAGTTACTATTCATTGCCGTGTGTCCCCCTCTCCCCCCTCCCCCCCCCACCCCCCGAAATAATTAATTCAGAGAAACTATTCTGAAAAAGGAAAGTTTCAATAACATCGCTGTGATTCTCCAGTTCGGTCTGAGCATTCCAAGTTACAACTTTACTCCCCTGAACAAAAACGAATTCCTATCAGAAACGGATCATTAGAAGCCTCCTTTGAAATCTGTGAACGTGTACAAGAAACACCCTTCCCATTGCAGAGGAGTCTAAACACAAACACAGAAATCATCAATATTCAAAGAAACCCATTAACACGCGCTATTACAACAAAACAACAACAAGGCAAAACAAATGAAACAAATAAACAAATAAACAAACAAACAAACAAACAAACAAGAATCCCATACCCCCCCCCCAAAAAAAAAGCAACAACAAAATCCAAAACTAAGGCAGATGTGCCACACGCATAGACTTCAGTTATTATTATTCTGGACCCGGCATTTATACAGCCGTCATTTTTTGCACTTTATAAACATTTTGATGTGCTGGTGCACACATATAAGCTAGTTTAATAGGCGCACAAATGAAGGAAAGAACCCACCAGTCTCGAATCGCAATTGTAGAGTGCTCACGCAGCCCCCCCCCCCGGCCCCTCAGTGATTCTAGTGGGGCTTTCCATGGAGGACCTGAATTACGTCACTGTGCAGTCTAGGGAATGCTAATACAAGTCTATGACAACATCGTGCTACCCTACAATTACAATGTTCTGTCTGCTCAGTACTTAGTTTTGAGATATTTGACGTTAACAACTTTGAGTTTTCTAAAACATGTCAAGGGGGTGACAACAGCAAACTAGACATGTGTTAACTATACGGTCCCCCAGAATTACAAAGTTTTTACTGGTAAGTACCTAGTTGGGAGAAATTTGACGTTAGAAATTTTCATGTCAAACTTTTTCGAATGCAATTCTTTGAATATTTTGATAACGACTTCGAATTATCTTACGATTTTGATGGAATAGACAAAACAATTTAGTTTCTGACCTCATGGTTTTATTAACTCAGAAGGGCGGCCAAAAATGTCCCCCAGAATTTGTAATTCTGAGGTAGCGATCAGCCAACAGGGAGAATGGAGCCACGTTCTGTTTATTGACAGCATTATAAAGCTCTCATTGGCAAAATTGAAGGCAAACGAGGCAAGGGTAGGCCCAGAGCAACCTACTTGGAGAACTTAAACGGATTGGTGACAGGGAAAGATCAGGATAATGTAACTTTTTTAAAAAAGCATCCGAGCAAAGGAATGAATGGAGAACCAAGACGTCGATGTCTGTCGCAGATCTGGCACTTGATGACGGTTATAAAGTATGTTCTGCAACATCTTGTGCCCACCACGCCTTTCTTATTCTTCTAAACCAGCGTCTGCAGTGTAGCGACCAGACGCTTCACTGTCACAAACAGAAGACATGAGTTCGATTCCCGAGTGGGTAAGTAGATTAATTTATCTTAGTGTCCCCTTCATTTTAACTGTGATGTTGTATCCCTCTCCTTGTTTTTTTTCGGTAAGGGTTTTTAACGGGGCTCGCAACTGTATAATAAAGTTATATGAACGCGCGAGACACATTAAGCATTTTCAGTTGGTAGGAAAATTTTGAATTTTGCCCGGGTGGCGGCCGAAGTCTCGTCTTGTCGATTTTGGACCACAAAGGAATCTTTAACGAGTGCAACTTGCACATGGGACCTTCGAGATTTTTCGCCCTTGTCCGAGAAGGCTATGTGTAGATATCGTTCCTACCATAAGATCATGGGTGTAGCTGAAAAACAGCAGTAAGAAGGAACAGCTAAGGAGTAGAAGAAGGAAGGTTGCAGAAAAGTCAGAAGCCCAGAGGAGGGGGGGGGGGGCAAAGGAGTAGAGGGGAGGGGGAAGGGAGTGGAGACGAAAGCAGACGACAGAACATTGTTAGAGAACAGGAAAGGAGATGAAAGGAGACAATTTTTAGAGAAGAAAAATGTCCATCGCTATCCGGATTCGAACCCAGGACCTCTTAAATGAGAGGAGAACACCTTAACTCTAGGCCACCGGAGCCCCCAATCCCTCTCCAACTGGATCGGCCCTGACAAGCAGGATTGAAGTACCTCACCTTCTAAATGATCTAAATACTAAGTAGTGTAAATGGGGGCATAACATCTAAGATTGCAATTTTGTTTTACTATTCTTTTTTCAAGCTATCGAGAGCCATCTAGATCTAACTAAATGAACGATTTTTTACTATAACTGTCTCTATTTTATCATGTCAGAAAGAAGCCCAAATGAAGCATTTCAACAAAATATAACACAGTGAGAAAAATCGAGATGATCAGGAATACAGGCAACAAGAATGAGTGGAGTACTATGATCTTTAATGTCTGCTCCAGACCTGACACGTGAAGAAGAAAATGAAGCCCTAGATAACGAAATGTGGAGACAGTTTGGAAATTCCCGTTAAGCTCTGAACGACCCAAGAATTCAATTTTTTTTGGTCACAGTACTTTTCATCATTGATGATGAGAATGGTGATATCGACGATGGTGATAAATATCGTCGGGTGTATTTTACCAAATAAAGTGAAAATGACAGGATTCATTTAATAAACTTCAGACTACAATCGGATTATGAACATTTCACCCCCTTAGAAAGACAGGGCTTTACCCACATGACGCACAGTTTTGAGAAAATCGGATTTAAAGAGTCTTATAGCTAAAATATTTTTACATCTTAGTTTTTTTTAAAGCGTCAACTGAAAAAAAAATGCGGGTCACATAGTCTCAAGTCTCAAGCCTTTGACACAGTGCCCATGGTCTGGGCGAGAAGAGTGGGAGTTACGTCACTATTGACCTCGGTGGTACATCCCTCTCTTAAAATGACAGGGTTCAGTTCCACGTTTAGCGAGAACTGAGTTACACACTACACACTATAAAGGACACAGATGTCCTACACAGAGTGTCAAAAGCTCGAGACAACCTGACTTGTAAAAAGGAGTAAAACATTATATTTTTAAGAGTGTAAATCTTTGACTTTGAATTAAATAAATTTTCTCTAACTCGGGGTCGTGGAGTTAGAACCCTACAGAGTTGAGTAAAAGTTCACTGGGACAAAGTACTCACCCTCAAAGGCTACCACTTTTTTCATTCTCATATTTCCTTTAGTTTAGTTTTAAAAAGAACACAAAAATTAATTTGTCAAATAAGTGCAGAAAATCTGAGTTGTTACTAAAGAGTAACATACAAGGAAAAGAAGTAGGAGAGAAAAGGATGATTGATTTATTGTGTTTGGTAAGAAAAAAGGAACAGACCTCACCAGACCACAAGCAAACCATTCACGACAAAATGCTCAAATGTCGAGAGAGAGAGAGAGAGAGAGAGAGAGAGAGAGAGAGAGAGAGAGATAAAGAGAGAGAGAGAGAGAGATAAAGAGA